AGGTCAGAATTCCTATAAAACAAGCATCTATTTTTTTTGAAGGTAATGTATCTGCATCTTTTTTAACAACAATATGCCACCCAGACATTCTCGTCCACAAAATATTCGTTCAAAAACATCTAATTCCTACCATCAGAAAAGAAAAAAACCATCTACCATATATAACCGGGATATTCTTTTTACTGATAAAATCTGCGCTTCCTTTCCAGTAAAGGTTAATGAAAGTGGTGCAGGATTCTCAGCCTTCATAAAAATGTCTCCTCTTCAAAGTACTATTAACAAAAGATACCATGATAAATACGTCAAATGGCGTTTAACCAGAATTAAATGCATCTTCAATTCAACTTATAATATTAATAAAACTGAAAAAAAATATGTTCCTTATATAGTACTCTAAATCATGATGAAGGGTTAAATAAAATTTTATTTAATAATTTGCTTTTACATCGTAAAACCAAAGAATATAAAACATACTCCGATGTTGTGCGTATTTATATTGCTAGAACATCCACAGAGACTCAATGGTTTTCCACCCAAACTACACCACCGTCTTTGGGCACTATATGGTTCTTTGGAACCGTCTTTGGCTTTCTAAAGAATACAGAAATAGGAAAGGTTGAATTCGAATGTGATATTCAGTACAAAGAAATAGCCACTGAGCAGGTGAATACTATAGTAAATCATTACTACCAGTTTTATGGAAATGGGAAGTTGGATTTTGAACATGTTAAAACCGAGATAGCTGACAACTCTCTTGAAAATAGAGAAACTATATCTGAAAATACTAATAGAGATCAGATACATGAAATAATTAAATTATCGAGTGATGAAGACTGTGCACCCGAAATAATTGAATTATCAAGTGACGACGAAAGCCAAACACCCAAAATAATTGAATTATCGAGTGACAAAGAAGTGGTGTTTGAAGAAAACCAAATGGCTGTTTCTAGAGACTGAACACCTGAAACAGCAGAATAAATAAATAATATAATTTAGCTTGATTTTATTGTTATATTCAGTGAATTTTTGTTCTATTATAAATATTGTAATATCTAACAAAGTAAAAGTTTTACCAATAAAGTTTTATATCGTTATCTTCTATGTGCAACATGAAAGATCTATCATATGATTTTTTAATATAAACTAACTAACCATAAAAAAAAATGTCTATTGTAATTAGTAAAATAAAATTCTAACATTATTACTATGAAAAGACAACATTTATTAAACAACTTACTTTCGTAGAATTAAAAAATATCAAGTATTACAAGAGGAATTAAAGGCGAAGTAAAGCCTTTTTTTTATAATCGTCTAATATAGAGTGCAGATCCAAAAATTTTATTATAAAAATCTTTATTAGTGATTTTCAAAAATCATGTGCACTATGTTTGTAAATTGACCGATAGGACACATCCCAATGACGCAACATATGTTTTTAAGGGTCACATGAGCAGTTGCGTCAGGTCACGTGAGTTGCGCGCCCATCACTACTATAGGGTGCATTTAGAAAGGTCTGACTTTAACAAACGACACTCCTCTTAATGTATGCCTAAAAAAGGCTTATTTAAAACTATTTTATAACTATGATACGAATAACAACTGCTAGTTTTTTAGCTAATTTTTTTTTAAAAAAAAACAAAATGGCTACTAAAAATATTACTTACAATGTTACTTCCAATGAACTTGGTAAAAAAATTTTTATTAGCTTATTTTATTTGCTTTTATTTAATTTTTAACTACTTTTTTTTAGTTTTTGTAAAGAAATCCATCTTGAAATTGGATTACAAGTTGTTTTTTACTTACAGTCAACCCCCTTATAGTCGCACCTTTGGATACAAAAAACCGTGATTATAAAGAGGTGTGACTAATATAGATGTATTTTCTATATAGTTATAAATAATTGGTAAAAATAATTTGTAATTATATAAATTTTGTAACTATTGAGGAGGTGACTATAGAGGGTTGACTGTATATTAATTTTGTGACTATAGAGGAGGCGACAATAGAGAGGTTGACTGTATTAGCAATTTTATTATTTATCTCTAGATTTGTTTCAGAATGTTTAAAACGTAATTCTTCTAATGGTGCAAATGAAAAACCTAATAAAAAGTTAATAATTGGTCTATTGTTAGTTTAATTCTTCAATTATACAGTTTCATTCTAGAAATTAGATTGATGATTGATGCAAAAATTGCTGGAAAGATATATATTTGTGGGTAATTATATTTATTGTTAATGCAATCAATTCTTTAGCTAGTTGATTAATAATTTTTCTAAATATAGTCATGGTATTTATTGATAAATTTCTGTATGTTAAACTTTACGTTTTCTATTGAAATTATAATTTATCAAGTTGTATATAAATATCTTGCTGAATGTTGTTTGTGTGCACCTTGTAGTTGTTTTATTGAATTATTTTTGAAATGTTGTGGTTGTGAAGCTCTTATTAAGAATCTTGAAAAGGGTGATTTTGTAAAATGGCTAATTAAAATAAGTTAGTTGCATTTATTCTCGTAGTATGAACTTTAACTTTAGTAGCCGCTTTTTATTTTCCTACTTCATGATGTGAAGAATGTTATTGGTCAAGTAATAATTGTTAAAGGTGGATATTTTAACTTTTTTATAGAAATTACCAGGTTTATCATTTAGGTAAATACTTTGTTTATTGCTTATATTATTTTTTTCTTTATAAACTAATATTTTATTCTTTTTTTTTTTTTACTTTTAATTAGGTAAAAGGATGGACCAGAAAAAATGGCTTAAACTTATTATAAATGCAATACAAATATTAGTTATCGGTGTTAAAATTATTATGGATCATATCATTTTATTTGCAAAATTTTTACTCCTGACTCAAATGATGATAAAGAAGGTTAAGCTAAAAAAACAAAAAAAATAAATTTAAATACCTAGCTTAGAATAATTTATTATAGAATTTTAGTATTAGTATTTACTGTATGTATATCTTTTTGCTATTTGTACTGCTAAAGTTCATTATAGTTGGGGTGTAACTAAGATTACATGTCATCTTGATTATATCAGATTTATATATAATGATATCTAGCTACACCAATATTTTCAAAACTTTGAACCTATATATTTAATATAAAAATGTCTCTGACTAAGCCAATGGGTGATTATATAATTTTTCTGTTCTTAAAGTGCGTCAATCAACTATAATAACCAAAATGGCTGTATTTTGTAATTTTGCAAATTCTGGTATAAAATTTTTGATAATAATTCTTACTATTACAGTACCAGACAGTAAAGCATTCAACATTATTTCAAAAGCGCTAAATTTGAGAATTATGTAATCAATTATGATAGAGTACTTTGTACATACCAAATTCTGATTGGTTAAAAATATATATTGACAACTTTTATTATTGGGCACAAATTTTTGATAATATATAAACGTTATACTAAAATAACGTTTCACTCTTATAGAAAACTAGATTAAAGGAACAAATTTATAAGACAGTTTTATATATTTATGATAGTTATTTTTAGCTGCCTGGTACTTTATAATGTCTTTTATAATCTTCTAATAATATAAAATAAACTTAATTTTTTAAAAAATAGGCAAGAAAGATTAATATTTAAAGGGGAAATTATAGGCATCTTTTAGTTTTCAATATTTTTTTATTTATATCAAGATAGTGATTAAAATAGGGTTAGTGGCACCTAAAATACTGTATATGTAGTAAATTGGCTCGAGGATAACTTTTTGCTAAAACATAAGAGCAAATTTTTTACGCATGTTTTTTTTAAAACAAATAATTTTTTGAATAAACATTTTGGGGTGACAGTAGAAACCAAGCAATTTGTTTCTAATAATATATCACTTTGATTTCTTATAGAGATTTCTGATTTTGGAAATTTACATACGATCTCCATATAAAGATAGAGGTTCTTGATTTTGCACCGCATGTACGGTGCAGGAAACTAAAAATCTCAATCATCATATATGGAATAAAGGTCAACCGACTCACAGGAAGTGATCTAAACATGCCATTTTTAATAGCGGCTTATTTAATAATTACTCTTAACTTATTCTTTGGCATATTATCTTTACACAAAGAGATTCTAGAGAATTTATTTAGGTCGATAATTTAAGAAATTTATTTTCATTATTTCTATTTTTATACCGGGTGGGTGAAAAGTAACCGGACAGTGACTTCTTTAATCACTGATATATTATTGGTTATGATTATCACTTAACACTTATACTAGTATATAATAAATAACCATAAAAATTTAATATTAGCAGAGATAGTAAAAAAGGTCACTGTTTAGTTACTTTTCACCCACCTGATATAGGGAGATCGAGATTTTTAAATTTCTTGCACCGTGCGTTGTGACAGTGAAAAACGGTATAACAATAAAAATTAGGTAGCTATGAGAGTCAATATACGACTAAAGTCTAACTAAACCTAAAAAATTCTATCTTCACACCCTAACTGGTAGGCTTCGATTGAGACGTAGTTGATTTTTAGTCCGTGAATAGTGCTATATACGAAATACGATAATGTTATGACTAAAGAGCATTCAAAGGAATTACTACTATCCATTCGTGTTTGAAATCAAAGGTGATTGTTTTATTTACAGTAGTTTTTCAAAGCGTTTAAGTTCTTATTACTAACACTCTTCGACTATATCTACCATTTCTACCAGATATGTCATATCGGTCATATATGGCAGATCCACTATCGCTTTTTTGCATCTTTTCTGTCATATCTGCCATATCGGTCATATATGTCAGATATGCAGGTAGGTTAGAGTTGGTACTCGAAACAAAACCTACCCGAAACAGATTTTTTTTAAAAAAACCGAAACCCCGTAACCATAATCCGAAACCCAAAATATAATCCGAAACTTTAAACATTATAATATATTTAAATTTATTTCGGCAGTTCTACTTCCCGACACTTTAGCTTATTTCCCTAACACATATACCTGTATACTATATATTCTATATATATTTCAACTGTTTTCATAAATTCTGGGACATTTGATGGAAAGTTAGCAGAATGATTTTTCTGCAGATCCGGCTTAAGTTATTGATTTTGGATAAATATTTTTATATCACATACTTATGTTCAGGGGACCTGGAATATTTTCAAAGTTCAATTTTTGAAATAATTTGCTATAATATTCTATTTTATTTATTTTATTCTTAACAGAAGCATTCCCCGTTCTATCATTGTAATGTTGACACATTCAACATTATTAAACTTTCGTTTGAATGCTTGTTTAGCAAGTTTGGTGTGTTTGTTTGTATGAAAGTTTATGAGAAAGACAGTTTTTGTTAACAAATAAATTTTGAAAAAAAATAAAAAAAAGCTCCAGATATAAAACAGACTTTTATAATAAACATACCACACGAATAGGTGCTAATATTAAAAAAAAAAGCGAGATATATGGTCAAGAATTCGTCAATGTAACTCAAGATTCCAACAAATCGATAAAGTGTTGCAAAAACTTTTCAATACATCCATATCTTTGAAAACCGACTTATAGAAGATTTGCTACCACTAGGGATTGGAACCGCCTAAAATTTTTCTTAATCGTTTAATCGTTTAATCGTTTAACCGTTTATTTGGCCGGCATTAAAATAATTCCAGCCCACGATCAACATAATTCCGCCCGGAACTATGGAGCAATTTTTAAACGGTTAAACGGTTCCATCCCTAGTTACCACCTAAACGTTTGCCAATTTTTCGAATCGATAAGCATTCTAAATTTTTCAATAATAAAGTTTGGAGTTTAAACTTCGGAAGAGGTTTTGGGTTTCGGATAAGGTTTCGAGTTTCAGGTGAGGTTTGGTGAGGTTTGGTGAGGTTTCGGAATCTATAATCCGAAACCCAAAACTTTCGGATTTGGCAAAAAAGGTCTTTGACGTTCTGGGCATATGATTTTCAAGGCAAAGACCTCAAATCGTTATCGGTACGTATTTG